ATTAAATGTAAAGTTCACTCAATTTGGACCCGTTAGCAATCTCCGGTTGCCTCACCTGGGAGAGCCATGCATCGTTACAAATGGGCTGGCTCGATCGGATGATCCATGGCCTCACAGAAAACCGATGTTAAAAATAATGCTTTTCACCGAGTAAAAAGTTACCAGAACGCTAAACCCTCTCCCCCTATTCTAGCGAGGGGCAAAGGGCGGCGATGCACTTGTGACTCCTGAGATGGAGGCCTAGAGTCCATGGCGGCGGTATTCACTTACCAGCAGGTGACCCGTCTGCTCGGTTGCCCTTTATACAGAACCCTCCTTATCCCCTTAAAAACCACTAACCCGATAAAATTATAAGAGGAACTTTTCTTTTTCCCAAAGATAAAGAGCTGTCGTTCCAGTCCATTGGCGGTCTGGATTACAGGCAATGGACAGTCTAGTAACCAGTGCTTTCAAATGATTTTAGAAACAGGGGTTTCACTGGGTATTCTTTAAGAAAAACTATTTTTCACGTCCCGTCTGCACTATCGTTACCGTCACGGTTATAGTTTATATCAAAGAAAGATTTGAAAGGACAAATAAAATTATGTTTTTTAATAAATTATGTTAGAAGCTCCAAAAAAAATTGGAACCAACATCACATCTGCCTCTTACCGTTTTTCGAGTATCCTATGAGTCAAAAGGCAAGAACACTGGTTCTCTTATTATCCTGATACGGCAGCATGGGAGACGCTAATGCCCTTACTGCACAGAGATCAAGAAGCACCAAGTATACTTGTGTAGTTGCCCAAACCACTTAAAACATGTTAGTACAGATTCTTGAACTACGTACAAATTTTCTCGAAAAATAAACAAAAATATCACTTAAAAATACGTTTATTTTGTGGCGTTATTCATAATTACTAATTAATGCTAGTTACACAACACATACATTCAATATCAACGATACATCTTTACAAAACTTACAGGTGGCCGTTTGACCTTATTTAAATGGACAACATCTATGCCGAAAAAATCGTATCCCAACTAGAGAGTTCATATGATTTTATCCCGACCGCGATTATAAAAAGCTCGAACTTATTGTTCGAATGATATATGGAGGGTAGAGGCAAGGAGAACCATCTCTGTGTATGAAAAATGTCCGTAAAACACGTCTAATAGGAGTGGCGCTGCGGTAGCCAGAGATAAATTTATATGGGCTTAAATAAAATAAGACACTGTACTAGACTACGAAAATAGTCAATGAATTTTACAGACAATAAATAAACCTGTAATAACTTTCAGACAGTAAAAGTATTACAATATATATATATATATATATATATATTAATATATATAACTCAGCACACTTCACTCCGTCTACAACAGATATGTTCAAGTCGTAGTTTTTCGTACGCCAGCGACCTCTATTTTCAATATAAAGCTGGACACTTTTTCAACTTGCCCCTTTATGACATGCTTCTCCTGTCCTCTACACTCCATAGAATGATAACAAAAAAAATACAGTTAATATACTCATTTTATCAAGTCTGACATGAAACAATTTGCTTATATTTTCTGTTTAGGAATACTAAATAAGAGTCTTTTGGTCCACAATAAAACTACATAAAACCTTGACATAACCAACAAAATTGAATTATTAATTTAGGCTAGGCTATTAGGCTATAAGGCTTTTAGTATTATACCTGCAATTTTTTTTATATATTTAATTTCAGTATATTAACTACTATCAGGGCCAATTATTAATGGTATAACATGCGTACTTGTAGTTTATAGACTACATGAACATCTAAACTTTAATACATCTTGAACTTGTTGTAACAACACATTAACTTTTACACAGTTTTTACTATAAATTGGAATATATACACGTACAACGTGATAATAAATATATAATTACAAGTACAAAAGCCTATTTTATTTGTAATGAAATAATTAACTTTAAAAAAATATCAACGACTTCAATACGACTAAATCCTGATGAATTGTGACCAACTGTATTCTTCATTTCTTAATTTTCTACCCTTTGGGTGGTATTTTTTTCAATTTGGTCAAATGGGAACTATACCCTCCTATATAAAAAAGAAAGTTTCGAGAGAAGTAACGTAAAAAAATACAACCGAATTGGGAGTCACCCTTTTTTGAAGTCGGTTAATTTTTTTTATATCATTTTATATGTTGAGAATAAAATGTTAATGGAATACGTAATGAAATACTGCAACAGTGACAAACTTTGCCTCAGTTCGTTTGATTGCGATGCTTTCACACCTAAACTACTGAAACGATCTTCATAAGGTGTACACACGTTTGGGCGCGTAAAAAGCCACACAATACATTTAACCAAAAAAGTAATAACAATATATGTATCATATTATATATTATGATAACGCGATCGACGCCTGGCAGCGTTACTTATACTTTTATGTCACTTAATCTAGCCATTGAAAGCAACATTTATCTGAGATATAACGAAAGTTAGTTTCAACACCATTTTCAATCTAGAATTTTTCAGGAATAGGAACAGTTCAAAAATGAGTTATTTTTACGTCTACGTTATATTTATATAACGATTTTACCGGTTTTTACAAAATGGAAAAAGCCACACATTCGGTTAATACATGATTTTTTCATTCATACAGGCATGGTAAGTTTAAACAGTTGTTAATATATTTAATGTTTTTATTAGAAAGCAACATTAATCACGGACTAAAATCATTTGTTTGTTAGACAGCAATATTTATTTTACATATCGCACCCTCGGTGCAACAAAGTCACAAGTAGGCAAAATTGCCAAAATGACTTAAGTATGCCATATTGTCTATAAACCATTTCTTCGTTTGGGAAATCAAAGACAGCCGCGAAATTATTTGAATATATCGATAGATGGCATTAGTGCCTTTGTCGTTCTTGCTACTTTTGCGACGAATATTGGGAGAACAGAGTATGATTGGTAAGTAGTGACCCCGCGCCCGCATGAGTCAGTCGTGACTTGGAGCTACACCGGCTTAAAGGTAATGACAACTTTTATTCACGTATATTGAAATAACAAAGTGCCATTATAACGCTCAAATAATTAACTTATATTTGTACCTGGTGCGACATAGTCACAAGTTACGACTTTTTTTTTGTTTCCTTTTTTTTTTCAATTTTCTAATAAAATCAAAGAAATCTTTTTACATGATACTGTAGTTAAAAGAACAAATAATATAATTTTAATGAGATATCCCGGCTGCTGTAGGTAGTAATCTAGAAAAAAGGAAAATTGATCGAAAAAAAACTTAAAAGTCCGTTCCTGTAAAATTACAAAATGACCTGTTGTGACTTTGTTGCACCGAGGGTGCGATATATAAATACTCTCAATTTAAATAGAGATGTTTACATATTTTTACGGTTTTGACGTCACTAACAGACTGACAGCTCTCAACAGAATATTAAACACTAAGCAATAATAATAATAAACATCACACATCTCACACACGGCCGTCTGATCTTAAACTAGGCAGAGCCTGTGCTATAGTAACCAGACTGCTGATAAACATACTTATATATTATAAAAACATAAATATTATAGATAAATTACACCCAGACACAGAACGAATGACCGTGCTCATCACACAATATTTGTCCTGGGTGGGAATGAACCCACGACCACCGACTTAGCAGTCAGGGTCACTAACCACTAGACCGACAGGCCCGTCAAATAAGTATAAATGAAGTTTAAAGTACGACACTAGCTGACGGCTATCAGCTTGTTCGTTAATTAATGGTTGTATATAGCTGTAATTGATTTTCTTTAACTATGACAATTACGACGTACATTTTTTTTTCTAGATTTCAGAAAGTAGAAATCCTTCATATTATTATAAGCATTTATCCTTTTGGGTTTTTTTTTTTTAAATCTATTAATTTCTGTTACGAAAGCCAATATTATATATCTTAATACATTTCACAGAGACCATATTTTTTCTTGTTTTTGCTCGAAACACAACAAACTAATTTACATAATACGTTCTTATTATACGAATGTTATGTGTATGCACAGATAGGGGACCACCAATATCGTTTATCGGAAGATGTGTGAGTGAGTACATCACTGACCTTATATTTGCCAAATTTTACCACTAGTGATGTGGCTAAATTGTAGACTTGATACCGCAACCGTTGTCTCAGGTATACTACCTTCTTGATAACAACGATCAAATCGTAGTAGTGCATTGTTGAGCTGGGTAACTGTTTTTGGTAGTTCCGTAGTTACTTCCAAATCAACGAATCGAATGGCCAGTATGCGGTTAAAAATATTTTAAAACAGTAAACAATAAGGTATTAATGTAACAGCGATTAATTCTCAAACTTAGATAATCCACATATGGAATTAAAGCACGCCCTAAAGTGCCAAAAATTGATACTGAACTATCTAAAATAATCTTTTTAGGAAAACATATTTCTCTTAAAATATGTAGAAATATTTTTTCGTTAATGATTTGTTGTCGGCCTTATTAATTTGATCAGTTTGAGAATTTAATCGTTTTTGCATAATGCATGCATGCATACACGGATCGAATATAAAATGAATTTAAAAAACCGTTATTTTTAATCAGTCAATAAAATTTAGTAAAATAGGAAATAATGTTCATAAAAGGATAAATGCTGTTAATAGTAAATAATAAACAGTATATATAAATACTGCATTTAAACGAAATCTGTTCCTTTTTCCTTTTGGTAAAAAGTTAACGTCTCTGTATGGTTTGATTGAATTGGCTGGCCAGATAAAAAATACATGGCTATGTATATAATAAGGCTGCTTACCTAGTACGCTATTTATGTTAAAACCTATTACATACATTTATGGCCTGTAATGCAGGATCTATAGAAAAAAAATAACAATTAGAAAGGGACCTTTTTGATTAACCTACAGTCACTCCTTAGTCTATGATGACCAAAGTATATAACTCTTTATCTAACCTAGGCATGGACATAATTGTGGTTGGTGCAGGTAACACATGCTACATTTGTGGGAGGAACTCGATAGGTGTTGCGAACTTGAAGTCGTCGGGGAAGAGCTTCGCTGCGAATGGATACATGAGTTTGTAGGACTGGCGGATTGTGACGTCAGCCACGCCTGCAATGTCGCCAATTTCTTTCTGGCTGCGTTTGTCATCTGAAGCCTAGAAGAGAAAATAATACTTTTTAAGCAACATATTTATAATATTTAATGCGTAAAGATATGTAACCTACTAAAATAGTTGTGTTTATGTTTATGTGTATATGTTTGTACATAATAAGTAGGAATGTTAAACTGACTGCACGGCAGGCGTAGTGGTTTAAGCGGTCACCTCGCCGCTTCCTACTGAGTGTTGTGGGTTAGATGCCCACATGGGATAACACTTTGTTTTGAGTGTGGGTGTTCTTTTTGTCAGTTTTATGTATGTATGTAACGGCCCCCGCAACACAGGATATATTCCTACTACAGGTTTTTCATAAAACACAACACATAAAAAATGTGTTTGACTGTACTTTATATATGTATACCTATATGATTTTAATTTTATCTATTTCTTTTCTCTAACATTACATTTTCAACATTCAAATCAGTTTCAACTGCTAGTGCCTCTGCGATGCATTTTGATCCATCTTAAGGTTGTCCGGCAAAGATTGCTCTTAGCAATAAAGCCGCCCTCTGCACGTTGTAATTTCTGTCCTTAGAGTTATCTATCTAGCTAATCTTATGCAAAAACATAAAAGTCAACTGATGATCATTCTATGAATACATTCAAGACACATAATTTAAATGTTTTTTTTTGCATTTTTTACCTATCTATCATGCGATGGACCCAGCACCCGCATGGTGAATCCATGGAACGTTAATAAATTGGTCTTAAATAGTGATTTCGAAATCATTCCAATTTGCAACTAAATAACGCATTGCAATTTGTGATATTTAAAACGAACCTCAGAGAAGGCCTATGTCCAAAAGTAGAGATCTTTCGTATTTATTCCTCCTACTTAGTCGTTGCCAGCTAAACAGTGGTTAAAACTTTTTAATCTACACAAACAATTCTAATGTAACATCAACTACGCGTGTAAACTTCATAATAAACTAAGGATATTGTACTGTTATTGCATTATTCATTCAACATTCAAAACAATTAAATTTTATGTTAATATATTCACAGATTTCATCAACATGAGAAAATTCCCAAAGACTATTTATGTCTATTTACATTAGTGTCGGAACATGTATGTATAATATTCACGTATTTACAAATATGAGAATCTAGAAAGGAATATGTTGTGTAACAGACGTTGGGTCCCTCCAGCACAGAGGCAGGATCAGGCTTTCACAGATCAGCAGACTTTCACGTATAGGCGTGAGAACTTTCATAGCGCGATGCAGGAATGTCGCCACTATATCCACCCGTATTATAATAGCTACAGGTACTCACTATTTGAAACAACTAAAATCTTTAATTCCATACTTTATCAAGGAGATAAAGTATGAAAATAAATGTAGGTAAAGCGGTCACGGCAACTACAAATAAATATGGTTCAATGGAGGTATTAACACTAAATTCTATTTTATTTATTCAAATTGTTCAATCTACACATCAAACATTTGCGAAGGCCATACATATTTGCAATTAATTAGTTGCAAACCAATGAGCCAAGATTTTGCGGATAAGGGTAAACATTGTTGCAAGCATCTCACAATATAGTACATTTGTAATTTTTTATTTTTTAAATTAAGAATTGCAGTGTCAAAAGCAATATGACAGCTTGGCCAGTTCTTTCAAAGCATTCAATAGCAATGACAAAATCTTTTGTGTTTTATTGAAGGCCAGCTAATGAGATTTTGGCCCTCGCCAACTTTAAAGAACCTTGGCAATACAGCTTTTCATTCATATTATGTGTTACAACAATTATTTATATTGTATATGCTTATTTAAAAAGTATTATTTCGCATTACATGCCTCTAAATGTGCATATGAATGAGAATGCCTTAAAGTGAAATAATATTATTATTAAACTAGACTAGTACTAGTAAAGTTAGTAAAAATTACTAGTAAAGTAGTAAAACCTATTGATTGCGTTATTCCCTGTTTTGAAAATTAGATATTAGAAAACGCAAAAACGTTTAAAAGTTCGCATTAAACTAGTAAGCATTCAAAATGTTTAAGTATAAATGATGATGGTGATGATATATGACAAATAATGATGAGATTGTTGGACACTCCTTAACTGATTGGCCGTAGTCAGGGGTTGAACAAAAAAAGCATAGCCACAAGTTGAAAAGAAAAGTAAAGATACAACCCATTTTACAAACCCATCTCATTAATAATTTTTAATGTTTAATTGTGTGTACAAAAATTTTCAGTATTCAATAACAAACAAGTCCAACTAACCTGTGAGGCCATATAAATAGCAGCAGCAGCAACAGAAATCGGACTGCGTCCAGACACAATATCCAATTCTCCAGCTTTCCTCGCAATGTGAGTGGCAGCTCTTTGCACAGAGTTTGGCAGACCCAAGTTTGAACAGAACCGAGACATGAAGTCTGCTGTAGTGATAAGCTCCACAGATGTTTCCAGTGCCTTGAGGATCAGTTTGAAGCATCTGCCAATTTCCTTCTTACTAATTTTGCTGACGGCGCAGATTTCTTTGAAAGTTCGGGGTACGCCTTCTTGGCGGCAGGCGATGTATAGACAAGCTGATGCTATGGCGTCGTTCGCTCTGCCTTTTAGATTTTTGCCGTCATGTACCTGGCGATGACAAATGATAGACTTCGGTCAAATATTATGGTTTAAATTATTACATAATGCAAATAAGGGCAGTATATTTTAAACAGGAAATTTTAAATTTTGAGATAGTAGCTTGATATTTATCACTGTCTCGTTTGTACTGCTAAATGTAATTATGTAATTAATTAGTGCCCCTCCCTAGAATTTAGGTGGAAGGGGGAGATTGAGAATCTGGCAGGATTAATGGTAAATATTACTAATTATTATGGCAGTAGACTTCAAAAGTTGGTTTTAAGAATTATTATTACTTCATTACTCAGATATTGTCAGAACTCTTGGGTTACTATATTATTCAAGTATTTATAGAATTATTCAACATACCTGTTTAAATAGATTGTTAGCTCTGTCAACAATTGTTTTCGGCAAATTTATCCTGTCAGCCATTGTGCTGATTTCTCTGAACGCGTTTATGAGGGCCCTGTCTGTACTGCTAATATTTCTACGGTTTTGATACTTGGATACTCCGAAGCTGTCAAACGAAGCATCACCTCGTCCTGGTCCAATGATAGTGGAGAGATCTCCACCGGACAGTAAAGGGTTTTCTGGACCACCAACACGAGATGGGTCAACTCCTGACTTCTCATTGCTGAATGTACGCCATTCTGAACCCACATCGATGACTCTGGGAGAATGATAAAACATATTTTAGAAATAAAATAAAATTTAAGAGATACTTTGACTCACCTTACATACTTGTTTAATCCTAAATTGTAGTATGTATTGGTGGTAGTATAAGATAGGTTTGTACACGTGTAAATATGTTATTAAGTATTCTATGTAAATTAGTTTTAGTTTGTATAAAATTAACAGTAACCAAAATGCGCCTACTTCCTGTTTTCTCTGCATTTTGCTTAACACCAGTCTTCTGGTATCACCCTGGTTGAGCCAGCCATATGTTCAGTATCTAGGCTCGACACTACTCTAACAGTAAACATGGCTCACCTGCGCAGTAAGACACTAAATGAGTCCCATTGACCACCCAGAATAATTTACTCTATGCTGGATTATTTTCCTATTTAAGAAATTAATTGTACTATTCATCTAATCTACTTAAATGTGATTTAAAAAATATAATGTTAATTTAAGAAAAGCAGAACAGGTTTAAAAATGTCTTTTTGCCAACCTAGGTTGGGGTCGGCTTTAAGTCAAGTAAAATTCAGCCATATCACACTAATGATATGGCTGAACTTTGATTATGTATGCGGAGGGACTGCCATCAGACCTCCACAACCCGAATACTAGGCGATAACAAAGTTCTGTAGAAAGACTATGGTCAGACTTTTTACAGCTCCAACCGAAACAATTGCCATAGATATTCGTATGGCAACCAATAATTTTTGGTCATTAATAAATATATAATTCGGACCAATATTTATTGGTCACCAATATTATTTAAAATAACTTAATTTTGGTCAAAAAATAATTCAATAGTAAAAACATAATAAGTAGTCAAAATGACTTAACTTTAATCACTTATTGGAAACCACAAAGGAGGTGACTTATTCCTTCAATTACACAACCTTTTCAGCTAAGAAAAACAACTAAATCATTTAAAAAGAATAATATAATTTATATATGTATTTACTTTACATTATAATAGCTACTTTTTGCCATACCATACCTCTGAGTAGCAAAACAGAGAATGGTAATATTCTCTGTTTTGCTACTCAGAGGTTTGGTTGTTAGAGAGCTCGTAACCTTATTTGAAAACTTGGTTGTTGAATGTAAAAAGTGTGCAAAAATATATATGTTTGGCCTAAAATGACAGGAGACATTTAAACACATAGGTAATTCATAATCCATTCACAATATTCTCATAAAAAAGAGTATTAGTTGTGGGACAAATTGCCTATGTGAGTTTTATGGTACTAATCAAAATTGATGCTCCTTTACATGCATTTGCAATATTTAATATAATTGCTAGGTAGTTGGTGTAATAATAAAGAAATCGCACCATAATTTTTTTTTAAAAGTACTTTGGTTTCTCAGAAAAAGTCAGTGTTGCCCTAAGCTACTTAGCGCTCTTTTAGTTAATTATTAATTATGATTAAAAATAATTATTTCACCATTAATTACACATGTAACCTCTTGTGTGTCTACCTTACGTAATTTATAAAACCAAAAAGATTATTGGAAGAAAATGCACTGGGCTGAGTCCACCAATTTACAAGTTAAATAAAATAAAAATACATTACATTCTTTCATCATGTCATGTATTTTTATTGTGTATTGCGTAAGTGACACAAAACCTATGTATATTATACATTGAATTTGTGGCACTTAACAACCTAATAATAAATGTAACATTACAAAATTTTCTTTTATTATATAATTATGAAACAAACAGATAAGAAACAAGCATTCATGGAGCCAATTACAAAAACAAGACAATTTAGTTTACATAATATAAATATATTTTATTATCTTGTAATATTCTTATGGACAATACTAAATATTCAATTTGAAACATAAATAAGAACCATAAACACAGATGTGCAGAGTTTTTCCCTTTACATTGCACTCAGACTTTGCATGCTGTAATAAATGCACAATCAGCATTAATTACAAGTACCTACGCATTTATTTCTTGTAACCACATTACGCAATTATATACAATTATATAGTTGACCTCGAAATAATAGAAATCAAATACATCACTCGCATTAGTTCAATAACTTTGTTATTGTTGCGAAATGGCATCAATAATGGAAAGCTTTCAGCCATTTCGTAAATGTTGCCAAACAATTGTTTTGTAGCTTACCTGTCGCCTACTACCAGGCCGCATTCAGAGCATATCATGTCACCAGCCCTGTAATCTTCGATAAGCGGCGCATCTGGATGCGCATAACACACCACCTTATTTGCCTCCATTCTAAAACCGCAAAAGAAAGTAGGTTCATCATTCATCAACAAGTAGAAATCAAATACTAGGGTAACAACTTTGTCACGGGTTTTTTACACTTAATTATCACTATCGAAAACTTACTTAAAACCATAATTAACATTAATGTTATGCAGCTGTACAAAACATAAATAACGTCCATAATAACGAAACAGGAATAAAAATAAATTAGAAAAACAGACCTCGACGTGCTCGCCATGATTGTCAAGTAGATATCATAGACAATAACTCAACGTTTTGTTGGATTGTAAACTTGGCGTTGGATACTGAACATTTGATTTTACCATAAACAATCTACACACTTAAAGATTTAACTTCAAGCAATCATTCTTACGACTAATTTTTACCGACTTTTTACCAATTTCTCGGCCTAAGCTTAATATTCTCACTTATTATAAAGGTTTATTTATTTTATTGGGAATAATAATTGTGGGTGTGAAAGCGTTTGTTAATTTTTTAGATTTCTTTACCGATACAAATCACAACTCTCGAAATTGTAATTATTTCTTCCTTTGTAATCGCAGAGAGGTGCTAGTTAGACTGTACTATTTTTCACAGATCATGAGTTTCACGAAGTAAATAAGTGTTTTTAATAAACATTTAAGAAATGAAATGAATAAATTATATTTTGGTAAAAAATAAAATGTATAATTGTAAGTAGAATAAATAATTCATATCAAAAATATCCACAGAAATTCTAGTGCTTTCTTTGATCACTTCCTATTTGGAGCCGATAGCTGATATTATTTAATATGTAAGAAGCACCATCTGAAAGATGACAAATTAGACAACATAGCTTTACAGAAATTTAAGTTCTTTAAACTAATAAAACTTTTTAAACATGGATGCTTTTACTCATTTGTATATTATGAGAATGCAGAAAACTAGTTTCAGATCGGACGAAGCCCCAATTAGATGAGTAAAATGTCCAGTCACGAAAATGACAGGCGTCATACCAGACATAAATAATACCCGATTAGAATACGTTTTCGTTGCGTTGTGTGTTGCGGTGTTGTTACTAACAGGTACTCTGGTACATAATCCATAATTCCTGTAGTCCTGAAGGCCAATTCTCGTAATAAAATGTCTCAATTCAGTGCCGATCAACTTTCGATATCACAACTGCCATTCAAGGTACTTTCCTAGTAAAGTATTAAACATCCAACGTTGACAGTGCTGCCAATAGTTAAATGAGCTCTTTTTTTTAGTAAAACCATAACTAAATTAATAACTAGTTTTCTTAATATTATTGAAATTTAATACTGATACTAATCGTTATTATCAGCACCATCATCGTCGGTTCCAGATTAATACGATTCTTTGGTATCAATTTGTTTTTTTTTTTAATATTACTAATACATTTTTTTTTTAAATAAATTTAATACTGATACTAATCATTCATTCATTCATCATTTTGTTGTTTTTTTTTGTTTCATTTGTTGCAGTGGCCTCCTAACTTTAAACCACAGCATTGTTAAACATAGCAGATAAAAGAGTTACAGTCGTCACAAAATAAGAAGCCCGTTTTGACATTTGTCATGGTGGCGTAACTAGTGATTAACCATACGACTCGGTGCACGATACTTTCGATAAATCGATTCAAGCTTGTAGAGTATTTGATTGATTTGACTATATATCACAAAGTGCATTGGATTTAAGTTATAATTAGAACATATAACTTAAACTTTAATGTTATAGGCAATTTGAAATGATACAATGGAAATAAATGTAAATTTGTCTTTAATTTAAAAATTTAGCTCAATCACAACAAAATCAAGAAAAGTGAAATCAATCATTTTCTTCTGATGACGAGCCAGATGAGCTATCGTCGCCTGTATATATTATTTCATTTTCTATAATATTATCAATATTGACGTCTCTATCATAATCTTCCTTTATTATTTTTCGCGTCTTTTCTACCACTTTTGCCCAATCTTCTTTAGTTATTTTATCACAAGCTTCTTTTAACAATGTCATCATATTCTTAGTGGAGAATGGTGGCTTTGTATTATGATGTGCTGCGTATCCTTTGACCTGAGCCCAGATTAATTCAATAGCATTGTACTGACAATGGTACGGCGGCGTTCTTATCAATTTGTGACCATGTTGAAGTGCCAATTCATCGATTTTATATCTTAATTTTGCAGGTTTTTTTTGTTTTACTAATTCCAGCAGTTCAGCTTTCAAAAAATTCATGTCAGCTTCTACGCCTATTCTTTGTAACCACGCCACTAAATCTGCCTTTTTGCTTGCTTGAGTAGGTGCCTTATCTATTTGAACTGAATGGTAAGGCACTGTTCGGGGAGGTTTATTAACAACTTAGTAAACCACTCTAAGAATTTATTTGCATCCATTTCTTCGTGGTATTCTTTTGTACTTCTGGACTCGAATGCGAGTAGAGCATCATACACGAAACCTCCCCCGGCTGATCCGGCATGGCAGATTATTAGGCGTCCACCCTTACCCATAGGCAATATTTGAACAAGATGCCTTGGTATCATCCGTCCATGACTGTGGCACGGTATGATTCGAGTTCAGCCAAGTTTCATCAATAAATATGACATTATCCCAATTTGTAATTTTGTTCATTTGCCTCAAGAATGATACTCTGTGCAAAATTATATCATATCGTTCCATCATAATTTTCCTCTTGTCGGTTTTCTTGTATTTGAAACCAATTTGCTTCATAATTGTTATTAAAGATGTTGCACTGCCACTAAACAGGCCAGCCCCTCTTATATATGATACCACCAACTTACTTACAGTTGGGTACTCACTTCTAGTGTAATAAGCATATACGTGGTTTCGAATAGCATCTTCGTCAAATGTGTCAATACCTGTTACAGGCTTGCTTTTCTTCCTCTTCTTAGGCGTATGTAACAAATTTTCTTGAGTACCGGAAGACCCATACTTTTCCTTCAAAATGGTTCCAATAGTTTTTTTGCCGATTCCAAGTGCTTCTGCTACGCGATCTTGCACTTGAGTTACGGGTAATAATGCTTCACCATTAACTGATTCGCGTTCGAAGTATTCGGTTAACTGCACAACCAATTCGCGTGATTGGCTATTGATTGTACGTCCTCTTTTCGACATGTTGAAACAGAGTTTGTACAATATAACAACAAACACCAAAATCGAGTCCAAATCGCTATGTCTAATCAATGTCCGGAATAGAAGAGCCAAGGTCAACGTGATAGTAAACAAAAACAGTCCAAAAGCAAAGCCGAGTCTAGAAAAAATATCAAACATAAACGAGCGCACAGTCAACTTCACAAGATGTCGAACGAAAGACTGCGCGCGCAGTACGCGGTACGCGCATGGATCACGTGCCGCTTGGTCATAGACAAACCATTCTATAGGTACATAGAGAAAGGAAACAAATTATGTACGGCTTTGATAATTCTTTTATAGACTTACTTTTAAGGACTGTTGTCAAATGTGACTGTTGCAAAATGACATGACGTTTGAGACAGAAAAATGAGGATGAATTTTTTTTTTCATTATCATGATGAAATGATTTGGTCAAAAAACCCGGAGTCCAATCCGGGTTTTTTAACCAAATCATTTAGTATAATATCAAAATATTCATATTAAATATCAAAATAAAGCTAAAGCTATATGTGATCAGATTTTGTTTTTATATGTTTAAATATTAAATAATACACTAATTACACATTTATCTCTTTTTTTAATGTAATTTATGTAAACGATTTTCAGAAACTCTATTTTATTTGGCCATAAAACGGCTTTTTAACGGTTACAACACTACGGCAACCAACCCAAAGACATGACATTGTAGTAAAGTTCTGTCGGAATATTAATTAACGATTAATTCGTGTTTTTGAGTGCATTTTTTCAATATAAAGTTAAACTTGATGCTTATTTATGATACGCGTTGTGATAGTGTATGGGTTACATAGTAATTAAATAGGATTATGAATTTGATTTTTCAATTTCTTACATAGACGTTCATACAAAGTTATCGCGGCATGTGAAATGAGAAACGTCAAAACGGGCTTCTTATTTTGTGACGACTTTAACTTCATTTTATTCCTCCGTTTATACCTATAGTCTCTCAACTCAACGTCAGAATTGAAAAGAGGCAATGTCAAAAAGAGTAGTACCAAAGGTCGCTAATTCCTTAAATGTCGAAGTCCCTTAGCCTCTTTGGAATCTTTGAAGAGCAATACCTCTAGTATTTAGAAGTGCCATAACACGTTGCGCATTGGTAGACAACATCGAACCGAGTTTAATTGGTTTGAATTTGAATGATATCAATCTTTATTTCTCTTCTGCTACTCAACCGAAACATTGAACATAAAGTCGGACCCAGAATTATATCGCCAGTCTACCCAGACCCAATATTGTCAACTTTGAATTTTCTCCTGTGCCTTCTGGGGACATCAAAAAGAAAACCTGTCTGTCAGTTGTAACACAAGGATTTCTAAGCTCTAGGCTCTAGCTCACATTATTAACTTCTTTTGTCGACTACGAAAACTTTTCCTACATCATCCCATTGACTAATAATAATAATCCTTCTCTTCCTAAGCACTTGTATCCAATCGCAATCCTTCCTTTCCTATCAAACATATTTTCGTCCACAAACAGTTCTCATAGTTCATCTTTCAACAGTATTTCCTAAGTGCTCTACAATATTACTACTAACCACTAAAAAAATCCACTGGCCACTAAAAGCAAAATTTCGAAGGGGGACGAAACCACTAGTTTTAGTGGAAAGTCTACTAGGTTGGCAGCACTGAAACGTACTGACTGTAATGTGATTATATCGTATTGTAACCGAAAATTGAATCGGTAATCTGCTAGTCTTAGTAATACTTTACTATTTTACTAGGAAAATACCTTTTATGACAGTTGTGAGATCGAAAGTTGATCGGAACTGATTAAGACCTAGCTTTTACGAGAATTGGCCTTATGTCCTGCCGGCTGTTTGACCCACCTTTAAGAGCGTCGGAATCGATCTATAAATCAATCTTACGCATGAGCGTCGACAATACATACCGGTTTTGTCGACACTCATGCGTAAGATTGTAAAAGTACTAATTGATTACTACTTGTAAAATGATAATAAATACCTTAATAATAATTATATTTTATTTTAACCTAAAAGATTGAAATTTTTGTTAGGTACCTAATTATTTATTAATTTTCAATTTATAAGTTGTATCTTATTGCTAAAGA